CGTCCTGCCCGACATCCATCCCACCCACATCCGATACCCGGAGCTCCCGCACCCTCCGTCCTGCCCGACATCCATCCCACCCACATCCGATACCCGGAGCTCCCGCACCCGCCGTCCTGCCCGACATCCATCCTACCCACATCCGGTGCCCGGAGCTCCCGCACCCGCCGTCCTGCCCGCCGGCTGTGACTGGCCCCGCCTGACCAGTCCCGGGGCTGAGACGTGCTTTACGGCCAGACTTCGCACGTTCCTGTCTTCAGAACACGTCGGGGTTTTCCCACCTCTGGTCCCGTTCGCACACGCCCAGACCCTTGACTACCCTCTGCCACTGTTTCCAGCAAAGCCTGCCGACTCTGAGCTGTCCACACGGCTCAGCGTGGGAAACAGGCTCCCGCCCGAGGGGACCGAGGTCACACTGGGCGTGGGGGCCCCAGGCCTTTTCTCCGCCTTCGTCGTTCCTCGGGTGCGATCCCACCACACAGTGCTGTGTCCTGACCTTCTCGTTTAACACTCGGTCACGACACTGCCCTGGGTCGTTAAAGTCTCATAAAGACACGGTGTGTAGTGGCTGCCCGCCAGTCTGAGATGGTGACCATTGCTCATCAATTGATGTTTTACTGTTTTGAGTGGTGCTCACGCCGATATCTTGTTGCTCAAACTCTCTCCTGCCGTCCTACAGCTACAGGTGCCTGTGCTCACCTCTCTCCTCCCTGCAGTCCTACAGCTACAGGTACCTGTGCTCCCCTCTCTCCTCCTGCAGTCCTATTGCTACAGGTACATGTGCTCCCCTCTCTCCTCCTGCAGTCCTATTGCTACAGGTACCTGTGCTCCCCTCTCTCCTCCTGCAGTCCTATTGCTACAGGTACCTGTGCTCACCTCTCTCCTCCTGCAGTCCTATTGCTACAGGTACATGTGCTCCCCTCTCTCCTCCTGCAGTCCTATTGCTACAGGTACCTGTGCTCCCCTCTCTCCTCCTGCAGTCCTATTGCTACAGGTACATGTGCTCACCTCTCTCCTCCTGCAGTCCTATTGCTACAGGTACCGCTGTGCGGCCCGAAGCCAGAACACCCCCGACAGCTCCGCCTCCAACCTGGGATTCCGCTGCGCCGCCGACCACCTGCCCATCACCAGCTGAGCCCAAGCAGAGCCGCCCCAGCCCAGGAGAAGGCGTGTCCAACCCATGCTCGGCCTCCCTGGGCAGGACGGGCCACGCGTGTACAGACACCCGGGGCGGGGCGGACCTGCCTTCTGCCAAAGGAACCGCCTGTGAGACCAAATCACTGACCTGCACCAGCATGTGACCGGCGTGCTGCGATCGGGACCATTGCCATGCTTCCCTTTGGGGGGCTTTTAAAGAGGAGGGGTTGGAGGGAGGCCGGAGCGAGGCTTCGGGGGGCTGTGCTCTCCCCAGGCGCTGTCGGGGGTTAGACCCCAGGTCCACGGTGACCGCGGCCAGGGAGGGGGAGCTGGGGCCTCTGCGGCTCCCGGTTCTACATGTCAGAGTAGTGATTGCACAGGGGCGTCCGTGGCAGGTCATTTCTGAGCTGTCCCCACGTGTGACCTTGCGTGATTCTAATCATGTGACATCAGTCTCTGGGTTCTTCTCGGGGAGGGTGGGCGTGGCCCTGAGTCCGACTGTCACTTGCACTTTGTTTGTCAAGGACAAGGGTGTGGTTCACGCTGTTACGATGACTCCCGTGGGCTGTGCCCGTGGGTTTAGGGTCAGCTTTCTGAACACACAGGGAGTCCGCGGGTGACTCTACTGAGCTTTATCTTTAACGTTAAGTGCCTTTGGTTCGGGGGGGCAGTCACAGCCCCAGCCCCCCTCCCCAAAGCTTTCTGTGGGTGTGGGTGTGTGCCAAACGAAGAAGCCTGCTGAACCCAGACGCAGGAGCGGCGGTGCGAGAGCGGGGGCTGCGTTCTGGGCCCCGAGTGTGTAAGGGAAGCAGGCCCGCTGGCGGTGGGGTCGATGCCTGGACGCGCGCCACGTGGAATAAACTGCCGAGTCCGCCTTCATGCTCACGGCTCCTTTCTGTTCCCTCGTGTTTTCTTTTAAAGAAATGACTGGGGTTGGGACGGGTTTGTTTGCTGGGAAACTTCCCTGTCCCTCAGCTACGCCACGGCTGGTGTGTGGGCCGCCGTGGGGATTGCTACTCCACAGAGCAGGGCGGTCCCGCCGGGGCCCCGGGACCTTGTTCCTCGGTCCCCGGGAGGGAGGCACATCCGGGGCTGCCTGGGCTGGGGGCCCGGGAACCTTCACGCTGTAGTGACGCCTCCACACGGCCCCTCGTCAGGGCCCCGATCCCACAGAGACCCGCGGTGGTCCTGCCGGCATCGGAGAGGAGCGGCTCCGCTTCCTTTTGGTTCAGAAAGTCAGGGACGCTCAGCCAACACTGCATCGCTACTTTTTAAAAAATATACTTTTATTGATGTCAGAGAGGAAGGGAGAGGGAGAGAGAGAGAAACATGAATGATGAGAGAGACTCATGGATCGGCTGCCTCCTGCACACCCCACACGGGATGGAACCTGCAACCCAGGCATGTGCTCTGACTGGGAATCAAAACGTGACGACCTGGTTCATGGGTCGGTGCTCAACCACTGAACCACACCAGCCCGGGCACGATCGCTGCTTTGTGTCCAGCCTCCTACACCCGCTGCCAGCCGCTGGGCCACATTAACTGAGCTGTCAGTCTGTGGATACAATGTTTCCCGACAAACTTTCACCAAATGATGATTCCTTCCAAGCAAAACAAACAAACACAGCATTTGCTTAATTGAAAACTAATGCGGGGAGTAAGGTGGTTTATTCTCCAAGCCTCCGCTTGCCAAGTACAGTTCTGACGGGTCCCGTCCCACCTGCTTATGTTTTTGCCTGGTTATATTTCTGCTGCGTCTATTTTGGGTCCCTCTCCTGTCTCTATAGCATAAATATTTTGGGGGGTGTTTTGGCATAGTCTTTAGAATCGGATCTTTAGCTGCAGCATCATGTTAGAAAGCATTTCAGACAAGATCCTAGCAAGCCCTTCACCTAAGAACCACGTGTCCAGGCTTCTGCCTACAGAGTGCACCACTGCAGACCACCGACCCCATGCACCGCGGGGCCTGCGCATGACGATGAGCAGACAAGACGCAGTGCACAAACCTCAGCTTTGATGTCTGATAGACATTCCAGAAAACCCCGCCTGCTGCAGGTTGCACGTAAACAGCAGGACGTAGGGACACACAGGGCTGGGCAGACACTCAGACTTTAAGGAACTTGGGAGCCGGAGCAGGAATGAAAGGCAGACCATCCTAGGAAGCCTGTGGCTCACTCACATTTCCCACAGCATCGTAGCCAGCGACCAGCC